CGCCATTGCTTTCAATTTAACTTGCAACCTATCTCTTGCAAAAGCGATTTTTTTGTACAACAATGCTCTTGCTATAATGCGAGAAATTCTTAATCTCTATAACATATTGAATATCAGAATTTATTTACAATAATCAAAAATTCCTAAATGATTATAATGAAAAATAGACTAAATTCACATGAAATTTTACAAAATCCTATCAAATTACTGTAAAAATGAGCGACAAACAACTAATTATTGCCGAAAATTCATAAATTTTTTATAAAATACTTTTTCAAAAATTTCGTTTTTTAATAGTTTTATTTTTAATATAAGAGTAAAGTTTTATTTTCTATACACATCGAATTTTTCTCTCAAAATCATTTTTAAAGTAATTCTCTGCATAATTACATAATTTTTTAAAAGTTTCATCCTTTAAATCACTTCCTATTTAAGTTTTTTATTTCACATAAAACACAAATTATGTACCCATATATGTAGTTTATTCCTCAATATTGTTTTATCTGCACTTAAAATTATTTTTAATATAAAATTTTTTGGATTTTTGCAATAACTTTCCATTTTTTTGTTGAAAATTTTATTCAAAAAAAATAAAATTTTCAACAAAATACAATATGTATAAAATATGAGGTGAAGATATTTTATTATTCCTGAAAAGATGAAAAATTTTAAAAGTTTTTGTGCTCCAATACAATAAAATACAATAATATAATAATGATGTTTATAAGAATGTGTTACTGTACATGAAATGTATTGCATATATTAATACATACATACATGTTTAAATTAGAATATGGCACAATGTGTTTTAATAATAAACACATTGAAAAGTTGTAAATTTTCCGATCAAATAATAATAAGTTTTTTAATATTTCATGTTGTAGCTTTTGAAATAAAAATATGATTAGAGTCAACATTTTTTTTTTTTGCAAACGGAAGTAATGGAAGAGAAAATATACGAGGATTTTTTACAAAATATTTTCATATGTATGGTATATTATAAATTCAGCAATGACGTAATGAAAAAACTGTTGCAGAATAATAAAAAAAAATAACCTAATTTGGTAAATTTGTGCCCCGAATAAATCGATTTTTTTTTAAATCTCATAAAACGATTCAGTAGGCCACTATGAGCATTGATCGCAATGTATTACAGTTACAACCGAGTTTCAAAAAAAAATTTATATTACATTAAACTCTAAATTTATTAACCTTATATAATTTATTTATTCTTGTTAAATTGCTTGTAGATCAATTCAAGGGGCTTATTCTGAGTATCAAGTAGTTATAATTATCGAAAAATGTTCAATATTATTATAAACATAAACCAATTATTATCAACGATAAATATCACTATCACTTGGTGATTCGATACTCAAAATTACCCCCAATTCTTAGTATACTATACTTGTATGTAGATCTAGTCAAGCATTTGACTGGATCAACTGATCATCATAAAAATTATCAATATTTACATTGTGTATGGTGGAAAATTTTTGAAAATTGCTTAATGGAAAAATTTTTAAGAAGAATAAATATTCTCAATTTTAGCAAATGTTTCTTTTTCTAAACTAAATACTTTTTCCCATAGTTGCAAGCCTTTCGTGCATTGCATTGTGTCTACAAATCGCAAATATCATGTGTGAATTAAAACCTTATATGAAAATATTTTTCTGGTAATGTGCTTTTTAAAATCATTCCTCCTTTATCCATTACAGATTGGAGCTTTGGACCTGACAATCAGATGTGCTCAAGATAGTATTTTTATGGGCTGTATAATTTGCAACAAAGAATAATATTTTCTTAAGTAACGCAAAATTCTGTTCGATAAAACAAGTATTTTGCAATTCGTCCGATATATGTATTATTAAAGATGTTCACAAAACATTATAAATTTTTAATAACTTAAAAATAATATCGATTTTCACATAAATTGCATGCTCCAGTTCATTACTAATATAAATATTATACAGCACGAATACAAATTTGATTTCAACGCAAAATTATTTATAATTGTAGAAGTTCTGTATGTATACATATGTAGTTCAAAATAAAAATATCAAAAATCAAATTGTATTTACATATTAAGTGCTATACTTATAATTGTTAATATTATTTTAATTATTGAAATAACAATAACGGAATTCATCTTTGAGATTTAAATTATAAAGATTTTCGAATTAAGAATATCGGGATTTTTTCATTTTAAATAAATATACTTCGAAAAACCAATTCCAGAAACACAAAAGCACTTTAATATTATTATATTTTCTAAGGCTATGTAGCATAATGCTGCACCTACATATAAAAATAAAAATGCTTTTCTATTTTCTATTTCGTTCAAAAATGTTTCAAATATTATTTTATATTCATGAAAAAAGGATATTATTTTATATTGACAGTATTAAAACATAACATACATAAATATATAAACATATAAACACATGCACGGCACACATAATATTAAAATTTTCTCATATTATAGCATATTGGAAGGAAACTAGATGACAAAGAATATTTATGTATGTGTGTGTAAGAGTGTATAATATAATATTATTATTCTTGAAAAAGAAATTTTCTTTTGTACATAATATCATAATAGACTCTGTATGAAAATAAAAATAATAAATACATTTTTTTCCTATTTTTTTAAGTCCCTTATTTCTTGTGAATGTTGCCGCATAATATGCATTTTATTTTTATTTTTCGCTTTCATCCTATAAATTTTTCTTATATGATATTCGAATGAAATTTACGAGTATTTATTCTTGTGATGTTAAAAGATTTTTGAAAATAGAATATTTGGATCTACTTGAATTGGCAAAAAATAAAAAAAAATATCTACTATTTCAACAAATATCGCAAATTGTATTGAAAATTGAATATGTTTACACGCGTTAGCGTTATTGAAAAAAAAGCAAAAACATAAATTACACCTTTTACTTTGAAAATCTGAGTATAAAACTTTGTTTTTAAAATATTTAAAATCAACTTTCATGGTTAGATGGCATGAAGTCAAAGCTGTCAAATCATTCCATAAAAACTTCCTGGATATGTCAGAACTGTAATTGAATCTAATTTTATTATTTTCCCGAATATTTAAAGTTAGCTTTTGAAGTTGTATGGCAACTTACCGAAGCAGTTATTTCTCAGAAACACGGAATCAGACACACCGTTGCCAAAAATTTAAGCAGTTACATTTATTATTATTTCAACTATTTAATATCAGCTTTAAGGGTTATATGGCAAGTATCCGAACCAGCGCAGCTGTTTCATTTAAATTTTCGGAACGAAATTTCATATCAACATTTTTAATAGTTTTTGAAATACTATTTAAAATAATCTCTTTCGATTGTATGGCAGCTATCCGAACCCGTTGTGCGAATTGGTTCAATTATGTACAATAGAATTGATTCTTAGCAGAAAAGTAAGAACTTGTGAAAGTTTGGTGGTTTTTGCCTTGCATGTCACATCATCAACGCAGTATTTTATGCTGAGCAAGATTCCTCCTTCTGTTGTCCTCACATCCTACAAGGCTACCACCATCACCTTACTTTAATAAGGTCTTCGAATTCACTCGTCGAATATTAATGCGCATTTCGATCATGATCTAGTTGAATCCTCAATTTTTTTTTCTCTCCCTCAATTTTTTTTAATAAGTTAACTTTATCTTTTTTTATCCTTGTAGAATTTTTCATTTCGTATAAACTCGTATAATGTCGAATGTGTTTTATGAGAATCTTTAGATTTGAAAAAAACTTATCTGATAGTTTGAAAATTCTGTAAATTATGTGGGTTTATGTGTACATATAGGAGCAACATAGATACCGAGAGCACCATACACATAATATATTCTTGTATACAACTATGTGAGTGTTACAAAAGTTATGTATTCAACTGCATTTAAGTATTTTTAATAGTTTATCTTTTTATGGGGTAAATTTTTAGAAAAAAAATTAAAAAAAGTTTAAAAAAAAAGGAAAAGTTTATAAATGTAGATGTGAATAATATAAAATTCAGATATTTTCAATAAATTAACTTAATATGTGTACATAATATATGTATGTGCGGCTGTAGGTACGTGCATTTTAACATGCACTATAATATTAATGGAAAAAGCATGCCACAAAATAATTTTTTTTTGTAAATTTAAAATTCGAAATGAAGCTTAACTAAAATCAAAAAAAAAAAATAAGTTTTTTTATCGGAAATTTTTCAGGAATATTCTGAAAAAAAAAAAAAAATATTTTTAATTAAAGCAATTGTTAACAGATTGGATATTTTTTCTATTTTATTTTTTAATAAAATAGAGAACAAATAGTTTTCGAAAAATTTTCTGTTTTTTTAAGATCAACTTTAATTTGGATTTGAACGAAAAAATTTTAAAATTTATATTGTTGTTAAAATACATTACAAGCTGTTTTGCAAGCAAGTATTGCGGCATTGCTAAAAAAAAATTGAACAAGTGCAAAAATTTGCAGTATTATTAAAGAAAAGCTAATACCCCTTTATTTTAATTCTAAATTTTCGATTTAAAAAAAAAATCAACTGGTTTAATTTGGTAAGGAATTAAGTATTTAGCAACTACTTTAGTATATTCCTTATTAATTGCTTCCGCTTCTTTTTAATAGGCTATTATAAGAAGGAGAACATCTCTGATTGAAAAAATTTCTGTGAAATTTATGTTTAACTTCATTCACCCAAGGAAAAGAATATGTAATAAATTGGAACTTTTATAGAAAATTCGGCCATGTATCTATGCAATCCGGAATCGTACTAAAAAGAACCTAAAAACAATAAAAATATTATAGTAATTAGCTATTTTTAATAATTTTATAACTTAATTCAAACGTTTCATTTAGTACATAGAACTTAATTCAGACGTAGTAGATTGCTTATTTTATATATAACCTTTATATTATTTACTCAGTCTTATAAAATCACTTATATTTTTAAAGTTATCAAAACTAATAATTACATTTTTATGTTTTTTGTTTCAGGTAAGGACATTTTTGGAAAATTCATTTATATTTTTAAAGTAAGTTAATGTTATCACGTTCTTTCTAAAAAACAATACAGTTTTATGAAATATGGGACGCAGATAAGTTGTAAGTTATTACTTAATTGTATTGGAAACATTATTTAATTAAACCTACAGAAATTACTAAACAAAATCTACTGATGTGGCAATTGACTAGAGTCTAAAGCAACATTGACCATAAACTTTAGCAAATCATCATAGCAAGTCTCTTTTTTGAGTCACCAAGTTTTATGTATTAAAAAGGAATGTTTACCAAATCAAACTTCATTCAAAATGCAATTACAAACATGTTACTACTCCTTAAGAAATTTTAGTTAGCATTTTACAAAATTATTCCAATAAATTGTGAAAGTCTAAGCTGTTCAATGGAAAAAGTCACAACCATGAAATCATCATATCCAATTGCAAGTATGTTCCTTTACTACAAGTGTGTGGTCATAGAACGAATTTTCAATTTCCTAAAATCAAATTTTTGGTTACGAATTATTAGTGTTAAGAATATTAAAACGATTTTAAGAGTTTTATGACGATGTCTAAGCTTTTTACACTAGCTTTAGTAAAATAAAATAAGTGTACGTACAAATTTATTACATTATAAATACATATAACACTTTCTATTATACCAAATAAACAAAAATATTTTTAAGAAGTCATCAATATTTTTAGAAGCAGATGTTTTACTAAATTAATGTTTAAACAAGAATTATGTGAATATTATGGTTCAAAGCCTTTCAAAATTTTCAACTATTTTATATTTTTAATAATCAACAGTACATATAAAAAAGGACTAAAAATTTATATACTAAATTTCTTTTCAAATTTATTGTTAAATTTTTATTTATTCATATTAAATGTGTTTTCTTTCACACAATATTTTTCGAATTTAATAAAAATTTAGATAACATTTGTACACTTAAAAAAAATTTACAAAACCAAAAACAATAACAAAAATAAAAAAGGAAAAATAAGAAATATGTAGCTGTTTTTCTATAACAAGTACAACAATAAAAATATTCCGCTTAAATAGTTTTTTCCTCCTTTTTTTCGCCTATTTCATTAAAATTTTTGAATATTAGATACGAATTGTTCTATACCATAAATATGAGTGTATATTTAGTTACAGAAACACATTATATACACATACATTTAACCAGAACAATTTCTTTATTATTGTTTTTATTTGCCTTTTTTTTTTACTTTTTATAATTTTTTTCCATTTCCTTTAAGAATACAAAAAAATTGCTCCTTTTTATAACGAACCGCACATAAGTTCCACACTTCCGAATCATAAATTTTTTCATCCGTAATTCCTTAGACACAAACCAACCTACATAACCAAATATACACCAAACAATATAATAAAAAAGTAGCAAAAACATACAAAACACAGAAACAAAACAAAAAAAAAATAAAATGAGAAAAAAGAAATTATATTTTTACATACGCATATAAATTTATCGTCAAATGGCAACAAACAAAAACAAAAAAGTGAAAGACAGTAATTGAAGCATGAAACCTACAAGAGACTCCGAACGGAAAAAAAAAGCCGATGGATCAAGCATAAAAATATGAAACAAAGGCATACAAAAAATTAAAAAATAGAAATAAAAATAAGCAACTATAACTTGAAAATCACATAACATGTCAAACACATGGCGTTTAGGCAAAGAATAGCTACCGTTATATAAAACTATCATTAAAATATTTTGTATTCTCTAATACAAATATTCCCAGTCGGAATTTTAATACTAATTTAAGATTTTTCCATGAACAATAAGTTTTTGAAAAAAAAAATAAGTGTTAAAGTTTTTCTGATGGCACTTTTAAGATGAGAATTAATTATCAGATACACATACATATATAATAATTTTTGATCAAATTTATAAAATGAAACGTTGAGGATTTCGAAAAGCTTTTCGTTTACAAGCTTTTCCACGCCCCGTTTTCGAATTACAAAAGAAGGTAAAAATTTGTGCACGGTGTTAAAATTTGTAACTTTTGCAAACGAAGGGGTGCTCTAGTCGGACATAGAATGTTTTTGAGATTTAAGATGCTATTTAGACAATTCTTTTAGCTCTAAATTTGTGATATTGAATTATGTTGTTGAAACAATTTTAAAATACTCCTGTATTTGTATATAACTATGGTGTTTTTGGAAGACATAATGTTATCAAGACAATATTGTTATAAATTTAACATTTGGGTTAAAAAAATCGAAAATTGAAATATGGACATAGTTTTTTTTTCACCTGATTCTCTAATTTTTAAATTAAATTATATATAGAATTTAAAAATTTCATATTCCTCATTCAAGACAATATTGTTTTGATACCAAAATTTCGAAGAAATGTGGGTAATCCAGTACCTATCCCCCTACTTTTTAACACACTTATTTTTGAACAAGTACACGCTTCGTTGCGATCTGAAAGCACAATTAAGTCAAACAAATAAAAACATTTCGCACACTGTTTCGTTGTTTATCCAATGTGCCATAATTTTTTTCTAAATTAAACACAAAATTTCATCTTTTATAATAACTGAAAACAACGATAATGCTTAAACCTACTTTAGTGAAATTTCCTTTAATAAAGTAAAATGTAGTTCTTTTGCTTTAAATTGCGCTGAATATTTATTTTTATATTTTGTTATTCTTTATTTAAATACTCGTTCTACCTAGTTCTTTTAATTTTTTTTGTTAAGTAACCTACTAAAAACTAGGTCATACAATAACTTTTGAAATCGCAAATAATTTCCTTAAAATCCGACTGGGAGATATGAAAAAAGACGCACAATACAAAAAAAAATAAAAAAAAAATAAAGGAACTCGCATTCAAATAAAAAAAAAAGTGAAAGAAATAGAGAAAAAAAAATAAAATGAAATGAAAGTTAAATTTCTTTTTTATTATTGTTACCATTTCTAAAAATAAAATATAAAAAGAAACCAAGAAAGCAAGAGATATAGAAAGAGACAAAAAAAAAGTTAAAATTAAAACACAGTAGAAAAAAAATACATAAGAAAGAACAACAATCGAAATGAAAGGATGAAAGAAAAAAAAACAACCGATAAGGCGAAAAGAAATTTTATGTTTTGTATTCTATCTGTCTCTTTCTATGCAACACAAAAACCAGCAAAGAAAACTTTTATATTCATTCTTTTCTATACTTTCTTTTTTTCTTGGTTTTACTTTCATTCTTCATTTTAACAACCCCCATGTCATTTCAATTTTCTTATAATTTTATGTCATCATTTTTTTTTTTTTTTGCTATAATTTTTTGATCCTTAATTTCTCTTTTCGGTCGCTCTTTTGGTTGTTTTCTAAACCGCCGAATGGCATTAAATTTTTAACATTGTTTGGTATCTCGTTACAACAATATTGCAAAGTTCAACAAACATTTCGGTATACCTATCTATGGTATACATATAAGAATAAAAATTTTATTTTCATTTCTGGTTTTTGCAAATCTACGATCAAATTAAAATTTATTAAAGTATACAAAAATATAAAAGAGTTTTTGCTTTAAATTAAATTTATCTTATTAAATAAAGACTTTCTTTAAAGTTTAGAATTAATCGATTTTAAACGTTTTCTTTATGTAACCCATTCAACTTGCACAAAACCCATTCCTCCCTTAAAGGGAGGACGTTATTACTTAGTGAATAATTAATTCAGTTGATCTGTCCTACAATATTCTGATTGATAGTGACATCAATTATTTTAATAAACGGTAAGGATTTTTCTAGTATGCTTTTAGTTTTCACAAAATTTGTATTATGCTTCTCCATGTTTCCTCAATTTGGCAAATGAAAAACAAAAAAATTAAAATATATTAATTTTTTCGAGAAAAAATGGATATATGTATGTAAATTTAAGACTTTTATTTCCTTAGTAGATTTTGAAGGTTCTATTCATCAAACTTGACGATGAAGTGTTCCAAAATTTATTGCACTTATATAAAACCGAACAAATGTTATAGCAATATAACACTTAAAGTTTTAGTTTTATTCTCTTAATAATCATGATTGCAACCCGCAATACCAAAATTTCCGTAATTATTTTGTAGACACTTACATGTCCATCTGTTTCTATATTTCCCTACTTATAGAATACCTACATGAATTTAAGTGTATTAAATCACTCAAATAAATCACAAAAAATTAACTAACTTTTGACTTTGATGATGCTTGCATAATTATTACTGTCCATTTTCATTTCTGCTTTATCGTCTATTATCTTTACATCATTTATAAAATATTTAAAAAGTTTTAACAATAGACGTTTAAGTTTAGTTCAATTTATTTTTAGCCATCCCCATCTGTTATGACAAGAATTTAGTTTTATTATTATTTGGTATTTCTTACCATTTAGAAATCATACATGTACGTTTGTTCTTTTAAATATGCTTTGCATTTGAAAGAAGCTCATATAAATTCATCAAAAAAAGAAAAAATTCCATTTGGCTATTAAAGAATTGAATTCAACATAGTTCTGTCGTTTTTTTTTGGAAGCAAAGCAAAAATTGAAGGAAACAAAATGAAAAAGAAAAAGGAACATAAAAACTTTTCTTATCACAACCATCAGAAATGAACAAACGGAAAACCGAATGTGATAGTGGCGACAACATTGAAAGCTTTCAAAATTCGACTCAAAAGAAAAATCATAGCGACAAATATTAATAATATAAATAGAATTACATACATACTTATAAGAGAAGTAATGAAAACTAACTGGAAAAAATTCCAAAAAGAAAATAAAATAAAAAAAAAATTAAATTGAGAAAAATGGAAAAAGAAAACCCCAACAGCGAATAAATCCCTTAGAAAAGGAATTATAAAAAAGCATCGTGAACATTTCGTACGACACAATAACAATAACCTTATAGGAAAAGAGAAGATAGGGAACGGGCTAAGAAGAATAATAAAAATATTTTGTAATAATAAAGTATAAAATGCCCGAAAGGGACATTGTCGTCAACTTAAGGACTAAAATGAAAAATTATATTACTTTTTTCTTTTTCCATATACATATGAACATTAAAAAAAACTTATATTTAAGTTAACATAAGTATATGTTGTATAGTTATAAATTATGATCAATTATAATCGTATATTGAATAGGAAGATTTTAAGTAGTTTATATATACTTTACTAAAGGCAACCGCCCAAAAGAGCCGCTAAGTTGATTTTGATATTTTGTACTCTTAAAATCCT